GGGGTGAGCTCAGGGCAAAGAAACGTCGTGTTTTTTCTTTCCCATAGTCTGGAATTAAGCTTTGCCCAGGAATATAGTGGATGGTAAAATGCTGCATAGGTTTAGAAGTGAGTGAACAAAGCACAGAAGGCAAATCCATCAAAAGCTGGGAGAGAGCACGTCCACTGAGCTGCTGGCAGGTGGCTGGAAGGTGCCTGGCAGTTGTTGAGAAGCATCTCCACATCTGAGTGCCTTTCTTACTCATCCCTAGGCAACTCCTCTTAGTTGCTGTCAGAACCAGGACAAGGCTGGACAATCCACTCCTCTGACCTTGTCCTGCACTTGTATTCTTCAGTTCTTTAATTCTTAGCATTGCTTTCTGTCTCTTTGCTATCCTTGTATGTGAGGGAGTGAAAAACTAACTTTTCCTCTTGTTTACCCCATAACTTGTTGCTAAATTGCTAGAGCAAATTCTGCAGCCTATGGCACCTTGTCAGTAAATACATTCTAGCTTTTGGCTCATGCTATCTGTTAAGAAAATTGGGTTAAATTCTACCATTGTGGTTTGTAGAAACAGAAATTTAGCTGTGGTCTGTGGCCATAATGGCTGTTGATTATATTTCTGTCGTACCTGGTTGGCTGTGGCTCACTTTGAAGATTTGCTTGTATTCTCAGATTCTGCTATTTGGAATATCTGGGCTTGAATTGTTGCCTTTCTTTAGATGTACAGATAAACAAGAACCCATGGATAGCCATAGTAACACAGAACAGGCATGGTACAGAAGCAGTAGGGGTGGGAGCACAACTACAGCACAGGAAGGATATACAGAACTTGGGTTTGAAAATTATCAAAATAAATAAGCATCCTGCCCAAATTATCAGCTTACAAGGATGATACTTTTGGTATTGTGTGTCCAAATATGCATGTGTGTAGGAAAGCTGTTTGGAAGGAGGTGTGTCGCATTTCATTTTGTCCTAGGTATGGTTATGTTAGCAAGCAGGTGGGGGAGCGGGTAGTGTGGAACTCCATGCCCAGTCACTGTGAGTGCAGAACAGGGCTCATAGGTATTGGTCAAGCGTTGTGGGGGAGTTTGTCAGGTCTGTTGCTTTCCAGAAGTGCTGTGTTGCAGCTGAAGCAGATTATTCATTGTTAATGTGGGAATCTTTTGATGTACTCATCATCAGTACTCAGTACTGGTGGCAGTTACTGCTTGCTAAAATGTGTTCAGGGATAATCTGTCCCTACATACCTGCAAAAAGATGACGATAACGGCATTTACAAACTTAGTACAAGTCTGTTTTGTTGATTATAGTATTTTTCTATGTGAGTCACTAAGAAGGTGTGGTTATTTTGTGTGGAAAAGTAGTTGCGGGGGAGAAGTTTTTATTCTTCCATTTCAAAACGTTTGCTTTAAAGTTCCACCACTTAACAAATGTTTATTTTTTTCATTCCTTTTAAATACATTAAGGACTGAAAGTAAACAAACTGAAGTATTAATTTATTTACTTCATCACTGTTGTTACCTAAGTGACAGAAACTATGAGTAGTACCAACAACTTTTGGAGACAAGATTTGCCAGCTGATTTGTGCACTGTTCACGGTCTGAGTTTCCTCATTCAGGGGCTTGCTCTGTTTGTTGCATATTTAACTTAGTATTTGGCATCTCAGTGTTTCATAGGTAAACAATGTAAATGCACTGGGAATTACATTTGCAAACTTGCAATAGCAAATAAATACACTTTCAAAATTATTGTGTTAAGAACTGATTAATCAATTGTATTACTGTCATTCTCTGTGGCTGTGACAGTACACTGATTCCATTTTCTTACTGAGGGGGGCACTGTAAAATGCACACTGAAAAAAGAAAAAAGTGAACTAAAGCATAGGTGAAGATTTTATAAATGCTACTCTTCTGATGACATCATTAAGATGGTGTTGCTGTTGTATGAATTTAATAAGTGTAATATTTCAATAAAGTAAATGGTGTGGGGTGGGGGGACAGTTGGTTAAAACACTGTATGATTTGGGGATGTTTAAGGGAGAAAAGATTTTTAGAACCATCCCCAGTAATTTCAAGCTGCAGAAACTGGAATAGAAATAAAGAAATAAACTGGAGATGGCTAAAGAGTAATTGAAGTGATGATCAGTTAACTAAAGCCTTACTATGTCCCTTACTTAGAAAACCAGTAAGAAATCAGATCTGTAAGCACATTGGGCAAAATCTCAACAAGTGGTACACAGCTTGTAGTCATATTTTGGATTGTACCCATTACTCAGATAACCACAAGTTTAGTAACAAAAGCAAATGCAGTCAGTTTTGCTTAGTATGTGTACACATATAATGCAGTATACGTAGAACTTATTGTAGAGTTCAAAAATTTATTTGATGTAGTTGGGCACTGGAAAACAAATGAGAAGTTGGAAATGAATGGAGTTACATCAGTGTTAGTGTAACCAAGAAGTCACCAAGTCAAGCAGTGCAGTGGCAGTTTCTCCCACTAGAAAAATTGTTAAATCATCAGGAATGACATGGTGTTTCTGTTGGCTGAATTTATTCTAGAATTTTCAGTTGTCCTGCTCAAATGTGCTTTTCTGTGTATTGAATGTGGCACGGCTGTGGATTTATTACTATTACAAAAGGGAGGCTGTTTCTTGCTGCTTTGAGAATGTCAGCCATAGCGTGTGAAGGGGCATTGTCAGTTTATATAGGAACAGCAACACAGCTCCAGCTCTGTCTGCGGGCCCGGGGAAACCCTCATTGTTTTGGTGCAAGCTGTGCTCTTCTAAGACCATAAGAGTCAGGTGAGAGAAGTGCCTTATCTCTGGCAACAAAAGGACAGGCGCACTCCAGCTGTATTAGTCAGATGAGCATACGATGTAACCTCTTAAGAGCCACAGAAATTAAATTCAGACAACTAATAGATCCATTAGCTACCTTTGTGGCCTAAAAGATGATGGACTGGAAGATGTTTTTGGGTGTAATGAGTGTTGCATTCTCTACTGCATGCATAATGAAGCAAATTCCAGCTATGTTTAACTCCAGGGAAATGTGGTGTTAAAGAAAACTATAAATTTCCTTCTTGTCCATTTGTCATTTTTCCTGAACAGTGTATTTCCAGTTTAGAACTTTATCAGAACTCAAAAAGGGGCAACCTGGTATTGTACCGAGGAACTGAGAGGTAACAGATTTCCTCATTGGAAGTTGCAATGCCTAGAAACCAGAAAAAAAAACAAGTAGTAAAAGCTTCACCCTTCGTGCTGAGTAACAAAATTAAATTCTTCTTCTGACTTGAAGAAACTGTGCTGCGTCAGGAATGTAAGACTCACACCAACATGAATAACCTGTATTGTATATCAGCCATGATAGATTCTTTAATGCATATGAGTTGCATTATTTTTTCTTTCTTTATATAAAATATTATACTGGTTGGTCAGTCACAACCAAGACTCCTTTTGAGGAATGATTTCTCAGATGCATTTGCTTGTTTTCTCATTAAGTTTAAGGCTGAGTGTAAGACTCTGATGAACTTTAGGAGAGTGATATTTTCACTCTTGACAGAAATTGACTTCAAGCTTCCTTCTTCCTGCTAAGCTTGCACAGATTCCCTCTGAAACTGTTCATCTGTTGAAAACCTTTTCATTTGCAGATTAATTGCATGCGTACGTTGGTCCCCACTTTTAATGAATTCACGTAATTTAGATACTCACAGCTGATCAGACTAGGGGTCACATATGAATGGCAGCTGCATATCTGGCCACAGAGATGCTTTGATGTCAGTCCAACAGGGACTCTGCTTGAAAACTCAGACACTGAGGTATTCAAATAGTAAGTGAAACTTCCATTGCCTTCCTGCTTTCATAGTCTGTGACTCCTAACATGTCTATGGGAGTTCTGCTGATGGAGAGGGTGTTGGGTGGAAAGCCAGGGTGACCGACTGCTTGTCCTGAGCAAACCTATTGCTATGGAGCTGGCAGAGAATATCTGCAACGTAAGGGCGCACCCTCTGCTCGCAGCAAGGAAGAGAGACTTGCTGGTCCCCATCCTGTGTATGACAGGGCAAAGGAAGAGGATTTAGCCTCTAGTGCATGAGAGAGGTCCAGGCCTAATGTGTTTGAAGCTTAATGCTGGGGTCTTGACACCTTTGTTGGAGACCTCGTACAGCCTGTGTTGGCTAAAACACATTGGAAGAACAGATAAACTTATTTTCTTGTTGTATTACCTAGCTTTAAGGCATTTTTTTGGCCTTTTTACAGTGCAACTTAATTTCAGATTGTGATAAAAACCTAAATATGTGGGAGTAGGACTGTCTAGCTTTTTTTATTATTATTATTTCAATGGTATATTTTACTGTTCCATATTAGTCTTTGTTTTTTATGGATAAGGTTGACAAAGATTGCTTTGTATATCTTACAGCTTAGTAAAAACTTTAGCATTCTGAAGAACTTTAATGTAGGTCATCTAGGGATATGTTCTGAAAAATCTCTTTGGTTCTTTCTCTAAGAACACAGTTTATTTTCATCGTTTTCTTCTAATGTTACTTTGCAGGGTGGGAACCATTTTATGTACTGACATGTAACTCTGGTAACCATCCTAACCTACGTAAATATGTGCTTTTGTGATGTGCTTTTATGTACTTGTATTCTGGGTTTTGACGATGTTTTCAGTATTATTTTCAAGGTAACTGTTAGGTTTGCAGTGGACCTGTTGTCTCAGGTTTATTATTTCCTTCTAGTGGTTCTTTTCCTCTTAATCCATCTTCTTTACTGTTTATGTAGAACACCTAAAATATTCCTTCTCCTGTAAAAAGATACTGCTATTTCTTCTACAGTTAAAAAGGAAACACAAAATCATGTTCTACACCAGAGATCAGTGCGTGATGCTGTTCCAGCCCTGCTTGCTGATGGACACTTTCTGGGCAGCAATATTTCTTACTCTTCCAGGCCTTGCATGTCCCAGAGAAAAATAATGCATTACATGTTTCCTGTGCTCATCTAAGAATAAACAAAATTATTCTTCCAGGTGATAAGAAGAAGTAGTGATGAAGAGAAGTTGCTGTGCTTGGTACGTCAGCGTGCAGGACACCACTGTCAAACCGCTGTCATCGTGATTCTCATACTGGCCTGGGAAGGGATCCCTCATCTCCTGGCTGATACGCTGTACAAAGAACTGACACAGAGCCTCAGAAAATACGGCTGTCCCACCAGCCGTAGGTGTGCGTTAAATGAAGAGTAAGTTACTTTAGTAGTAAATGACTGTTGTGTTGCCTTTTGAATGTTCTGCAAAAAACCCCGTTGAGAATTCAATAGTTCGACTAATAAATATAGGAAAGCTCATTTAAAACTACAAACCACTAGGTGTCATTTCAGTATAAAACTTAGCTCTGGACTTTTCCTAGAGATCAGGCTGTAAGTGATAGTTGTACACACTGCACCCGGGGAAAGGGGTGGCAATGAACTTCTCTCTGGCTTTGCACACGCTGCCCAAAGGCAGTCAGTGTGCCCTTTGTACACAAGGCCGTGCTGAAGAGCTGCTAAGAAGGTGATATGTGACTTTATTGAATAAACAAGAGATTTAACACTCAAAATTAGGATCTTTGTCTCTATGCCTCTGAGGGGAATGTAATTTAGTTGACTAGATGATAAATAACTACTGAGGAGCTACTCTGGAGCAGTGCTGCTGTTGTGCCGATTTTGGTGTGGCCCCCATTTAACAGACTCCAATAGCTGTACAGTGACCTGACTCTCATGCTTGTGTTCTCAAGGGGTTGGGCTGAGTAGAGTTGTTCCAACTGAAAAGTTAGATCAATTTGGAATTAATGGTATTGCTGCACAGAACAAAATAACTGTTGGATTTGGGGTAGCCTTTAGGAGCAGTGGTATTTTCTTGGATAAAGATTTTATACAACTGGAGAAGTCAAAATCAAAATAGCGTGGGTATATTTACATAGCTATAACTGAGTGTTATGTATTTCCCACAAGTGGGACTCTGGGAAGTTTAGACTGTCTTTATTGGGGGGAGGGGAAAAAAGTCAGTCTTCTGCACATGAATATTTCCTTAATAGAAAAGAGCTGGTTAGACCATATATCTTATAAATTTCTGTGTTGTTATGCTGTGTGTTATAAAAGAAATAGCAAATAGCATTGATCTAAAAAGAAAAGGGAAAAAAAAAAAGCTGTGTTGTCAGCTGACTTGATGTGTCTTTATTTCCTTTCATAGTCGTACTTGTGCGTGTCAAGGACTTGATCCAGAAACTTGTGGAGCGTCGTTCTCATTTGGCTGTTCATGGAGTATGTATTTCAATGGCTGTAAGTTTGCCAGAAGCAAAAACCCCAGGAAATTCAGGCTTCTCACTGATGACCCTAAGCAAGTAAGATTTATTTTATTTGGTTTATTGTTTTCTTTTCCTCCAAATATTTATTCTGATGATTTTCAGAACTAGAAATGAAATCTACAGATATCTGCCCCTTCTCTCTCTCTCACATCTATGCATAGCTTATCACACAGACACCCAACTAAATGTTTTGCAACTGTAGTATTTATAATTTTTCCACTGTATGAAAACTCAGTGTCATTTACTATGTATTTAAATACCCTAAAATTATCCTTAAATGCTTTTTACTGCTTTTTTTTGCTGTATACCTATTTAGCTCCACTGTGTAACTGTATGAAATGTTAATCTTTGTAAGTATAAAGTACAGCTGCAGGTTTTTTCTAAGCACCAAAGGCTGCACCTCAGAGATTCAGTCCTTTTGCCTTGTCATAGAGAATTTTGTACCTTGGGTTGCACTGCTTTCACACTTCTGTCTGACCAGCTAACAACCTGTCTGCCACCTAGAATAAACTTATTTTTCTGTGGACATCATGTTTTTTAAACACTTGTGAAGGAATGAGTGCACTAAATATGATGCAGTTAAATGATACTGTAATTTCTGCTCAAGTTTGTTAGTGTTAGACATAAAGCTGAAATAGCAGGGAAAATACAGTGATGGATTATGTGAAGTAACAATCCTCTAAAAAAACAAAACGAAACCAAACTAACCAAATTAGATTTTTCCATTGGAAATACTTTCATGAAGAAGGAATAAAGGTTTTGTAAACTGTTAACTGCTGCCTGATGCACGATATTCTGCTGTGTTTTTCAGGGTAACTCAAAAGTGCCTTTTATTCTGACTGTAGATGTCTCTAACCCCACTTCCCTGTGGAACTCCTAGATGAAAGTATCATGTTTTTACTATCTCATCTGGCGTGCTTTAGGAGACATAGAGTATAGGGCAGTCAGTTACCTAGTTCTCTGTTTGGATTACCCTGCCACCAGTTTTCTGGGCTCCTCTGCTGCCAGCTACAGGAAAGACCTAGCTGGTTGAAATCCAGAGAGTAGCAGAGGTAGTATCGCATTTTTTTAAAGTGTAATTTACACATGTGTGTGCACATGATGTGAAACTTTGTTTCTTGTAAGACAGAGTGTCATTTGATTCACTAGAGCTAAATATTCCTCCCAAGTCCTATTTTTTTCCTGAAAGAGTTGACGAAGCATCTTTTATGCATATGTGCACGAATGCAAAACCCTCAGTCTCCTGAGTTGTGCTGTCTACTCACATTGTGGGTCTTCACTAACTTCAGTAGTGCTTAAAGTGGGGGATTTCTGCCTCAGCAGCACAGAGCACACACAGCCCTTCTGCCCTGCTCACTGAACACATGACTAAGGCAGTACAAGCTGGAAGTAGTCCTGCTTGTCTAAGAGGGAATTTGTTTTATAAATTTTCAGTTAATAGAAAAACATGCTTATTGGGCATTCCTTCATTTTTAGGAATCCTGTTCCTTCTCCTTTGTCCCTTTCTATTCTCTGTGGCCCCCCCCCACCCCTTTTCTTTTTTCCATTTTCTCTCCCTGCATAATGCTGTATGTGGAGCATTCTGTGCATGTGTTTTCTCTGTAGGTTTCTAATGTTCTAAATAACAGTAGCTGGGGACTCAACAAAAGTGGTGACCTTCATATGTACTGTCTGCTGAAATATTAGAGTGTGACAGATCTCTAATGAGAGAGCTCAAATAGATCTGTCTTTGATCAGAATACGCTCTGTGAGACTTCAAGCTCTGTTGGTGGCATCACTTCCTTGGAGTCTGGGAGATGGCCACCCTGAGCTCCATTCGGATACTTAGTCAAGCATTCACAGCAGCATCTAGAAATGATACCCCTCCCATGAGAGCTGTCTGGCATGGCCTGTTCGCTTGACAGGTAACTGGCAGATTTTGGGAGGAGATTGCCTTCTACCACAGTGTAAAAGCAGTTGCCTTTAGTTATCTTAGAGAAGATTACTTAACCAGGACATTCTCTAGAGATGTGATCTAAAAGCGCATTCCCTTATCTTCCCTTTTCCATGGAAGCTGTTTTAAAGCCTCTTTGGATTCTGCAGTTGAGAGTGGATGAGGGTTGCACGGCAGACAGCTACTCTGCAGCTGTGTTTGCCTGCAAGAGAAACGTGTGCGCCCTTAGGCTGCCACTGTACAAAGCCCTCCAGCTGCAGGCAGCAGTGGTGCTTGGGCACTTGCAGTGTGCGTGCAGGCTGTCAGTGCACCTCAAAGAAGTGCAATTACTGGTAAATCATTTTTCTCTTCATTTGGTTTTGTCATTAACTTTTTTAGCAGATACTTCTTTTAGCTGAATACTGGATGTTGATGATTTTGCAGATGACATAAAGCTAGGAGGTAGAGCAAATGAAGAAGATAGTTTGAAATCCAGAGAGATTTGGATCATTTGAGGCACTGGATGGAGTGAGATGAGGTTAAGAGTGTAATACACCTAGGTAAGAATAGTACATAGGATAGATAATTAAGGATGTTACCTTATAGTACATAGGATAGATAATTAAGGATGATAGATAATTAAGGATGTTACCTTCAGTGCAGCTCAGAAAAACTTGTGATAGCAATCAACTGTTGATAAACTGGCTACAGTAAGAGTTAAAAATACAGTATCATTTTGTAATGTAACATTACACTGAAAAATGTGAAAGTATCCTTATAGGTTTACATTCATTGGTGTTTACACCATATGATGATAAGTGTTGTTTGGGGTTTTGTTTTTTGGTTTGTTTTTGTTTTTGTTTTTCAACAAAAATTTTTTGTTGCCACTATACAGTATGCAAAGCTGAAGCTGCAGTTTTCTCTCAAAGCCTGGTCATTGGAGGAAAACAAAGTAGGGAGTATGTCACCACCCTTTTCTTCCCTAGCTGGTTGGTGATTTTCCTGGAAAATAAAAAAATTTGGGAAAAGAATTTAGGGATTGTTTCTATAAATAAGAGCTTAAATGTTACATTGCCATAGATGCCCGCCTAGCTGATTCCATGTTCATATGGCTTACCCCAAGGAAAGGAATATTACTTTCTAATCTGGTAGATATTTCCATAAAGTCCTGAGTTTTGCACCTCCAAAGACAAAATATTTAGCAAATGTTACTGATAAGAGTTCTGTTGCAATGTTAGAAACATACCTCTTTAAAAATTAATGTTAAGTGCTGTTGAGATTTACTCATGTGATTAAAAGAAAAAGAAGGTGGAAACCTAGGAGTCTTTCAGCAGGGCTGTATCAACACAAATTAAGGCCCCATAAGCAAAACACTAAAAGAAGACCTGGGGTTCCATCTCCACTCAGCATGTGATATGATTTTGCTCTCCTAGATGTTACTTCTCTTTTTTTATATGGAACGTACCTCATTCCTTGACTGTCTAGGTATTGAAAGGGGGAAAGGATGCAGAAATTGGTTCCTTGTGTGTTGGGTTTCTTTGCCCTAGCAGATATCCTCCATTGTTATCTGGTTGACTTATATTTAACAACTTTGGTATTTCAGTCGTGGAAAAGCAGGCTTATTTATGGCTGGTGACAAAATGCAGCAGAACAGAAGTCAGATGAATAAAATAGAGGTAGAGGGGGACTTTCTTAGCTTTGCTGACTTTTCAGGCACCTCTAAACTGGATTAGATTCTTTTAAAGCAAATTACAGCACTCTGAACGTTGCCTTTCTCTGCAGGAGGAACTTCTTGAAAATAATTTGCAAACTTTAGCTACTGATGTGGCTCCGGTTTATAAAAAGCTTGCTCCTGAAGCTTTCCAGAATCAGGTAGGTCTGTGACATTCAACTAGTTTAGCTCTGAACAGGCAGCATAATTTGAAAACAAGATGAAACCCCAAAGTGTGTCCATGGGTAGAAGCTGCAGACCTTGTGGATGTGGTGAATTCCCTTGCTTGCTTACAACTGTTACTTCATTAGGCTAGTTTTAAAATATTGCACCTTTTTTATTTCAGCTGGTTAATTATGCCTTGAGCTGTGCACATGTAAAAGGCTTAGAGATAATACTCTAAATGAAAAGTTTTTATTCTTTAAAGACATTTTGACTCTGGCCAAACTGATTATCTTGTTGACATCCAGTCCTAAAAGTTGTATGTTTCATAGGAAAATACATGCTTTACGATCATTCTTACTGACTGTATTTGTTCAATCACAAGTGCGGTTGTGGCTCGTGGGCTTCCAAGTTGCTCACTTTCAGTCCCAAGTACCTGTAGTTTATTTTTACTTTCAGGTGGAAAATGAACACATGGGCCCAGACTGTCGGCTTGGATCCAAGGACGGTAGGCCTTTCTCTGGTGTAACAGCTTGCATAGATTTCTGTGCCCATGCCCATAAGGACACACACAACATGCACAACGGAAGCACTGTGGTACGTACTTAGCATTTCCTCATTTGTACTCTTTACTGTTGTGATTACTGTGTGCTTTAAAATGCTGCTTGATTGAGTGGGAGCGTTTGCATGAAGTTTGTTAAGGTATTATGAAATTAACTGCCCGTTGCCATTTATAAATTCTCACATTATTTGCATATATTTGTTACTGGTCTACAGAGGATATAAGTTCGTCTTATTACAGAACAGATTAAGAAAGACATGGGAGTGATCCTTCCCACAAAATACCTTCCTTCTTTTGAGACACCCAGGCCCTTTGGAGAGGACTGGCCACAGGACAGATAAGCTATTCACAGTAGAGGTGTGATGTTCAAAGGCAAGTAATTATCTAACTGAGGAGTTGTACAAACTTCTGTAGAGGAAGAGCTAAACCAAACTGATTCATTATTAATTTACCTCCCTCAGGCTCCATTCCCATCAAATTTACTTTTTCTTGCACTGTGCATTTATCGGCTTCATGTTAGTATAGTTACTAGTCAGAAAGTAGAGAGTATGGTATCACAGTGGAGTTGAGTGACTATTATAATTTTTCAATCTCAGTATGAAAAGAGTGGTGTGGTCACTGTACCAAATACCTTGCTGGACATCTAGTGAGAAAATCAGTTGGGAATTACTCAGTTAAGTGATCTTTTAGAAACTGAGATGATAGTCTGGAAGAAAGACAATCTCAAAAGAGAAAAGATGAAATAAAACTGACAATCTGTCTTTGTAGGAGTTGGAGCATTGCAGAACTCTAAATAGCTAGAATGACTTCTTGTACATCAGTGGAGGTAACACTCAAGAATAATTTCTCTATCAAAGGATGCATATCTGGAAAAAAAAATCTAAAGTGTCTGCCTACTCTAGAAACAGTCTATTTTTAAATTTGGAAATGAAAATTGAATTATTATTTTGCTGTGATTCAATAAAATGCTGCATTTAAACACATACTTAGTGTTTAGCATTTGTATGTGGCATCAATGAAATTACTGGAGCAATTGTTTAATATTAATTCTGTGCTTTTATGTTTGGCAAACGTCCATTACTTTAGCATATGGAAGCAGGTCTTGGAATTCAC